GAAAGAAGAGTAGTAGCAAAGGAAGGAGAAGTAAAGTTATCTTTATTTAGGCAGACAGGTAGAGTGCTAGGCCTGGAGTCAAGAAGGCCTGAGTTCAAATTCAGCCTCAGACATTTACTAGCTCTGTGACCCAAGGGAAATCACTTGACCTATATCTGCCTCAGTTACTTCATCTGCAAAATGGGGATAACCATAGCTACCTCCCAAAGTGGTTGTGAGGATAAAATGAGATAATATCTATAAAGCACTTTGCTTACTTTAAAGCCCTACATAAATGCTAGATATTATTATTACTTATAAAGAAGTATCATCACTTCTTAAAGTCTGAAGAAAGTAAAACTTATTTAACTCTGGTTTACAGATAACAGACTTGGAAAGTCTGATCATCCCTGAGACATACTGTAACAGGACCTCTAGGAATGACTGCAGACACTCAAAGGTGATGTCTGAGCAAGGACAACATCCACAGGGAAATGACCATGCTCAACCAGTCCCAGAGCTGGAAGGGACTCCCAGAGATTCTCTCCAACCCCCGAGTCCAGCCCCAACCTGTAGCATTCCTGACAAGTGAATATCCAGTCTCTGCTCAACCATCTTTAGTGATGGGGAACTCACCACCTCCCCAGGTGGGCCATTCCAGCTTTGGCAGGAAGTGAGTTCTCCATATTGAGTCAAAATCTGCTTCCCTGTAACTAGCTTAGACTGAGAAGATTACGCTCCTGGGACAAAATTATTACCCACAGAAGAAACAAAATAAGCCCCAAAGAAGCACTCACCATTTTTGCTCTGAGTTTCATTTTGACATGATTTTTTTAACCTTCAATCACAATTTGACATTGAAGGTCTCTTACTTCAGGTTACTACTGTTACACACACATACATTCAGAGATAGATTATGAGCCCTCTCCCATGTAAACACTTGGCATTCTAGTACAGGGAAGGGGATATGGACGAGAGCTACACTGAATGGATGGTCTCGCCGTTTGGAGGGAATACCCCAGAGCTATCAGGGGAGGGCAAGAATGCTCCCTGAATAGGATACTTGGTCAGAGGTAACAATGCACACAATGAGCTTGCCAAAGCTTGTGCCACCTTAAGCTGCATCAACAAATGCTCACTGTTGCAGAGCCCTGTGCTGAGCTCTGGGAGGGGGGAGTCCCTGCCCCGGGGCCAGCCTCCCTGATCTCAAAGAACTCACACTCTAACGGAGGAGGTAACAGAGGAGGTTACAGCAGTGAGTCTGATGCGAAGACTCAGTGGTCCAGAGGGCACAGGGGTAATGCAGACGGCAAAGAATCTTTTTTGATTGTCATTTCCATCAATAAAAACACTATGTGGCTCTACTGTTAAGCCATCTGATGGCGCCAAGAATGTCCCTTTTCTTGCCTTCCACAGCTGCGACTGCTGAGGAAGTGGGAGCTGCAGCACCTGCAGAGACAGTTGCTAGGTTACACCTCCCAAGAGCTGTTTCCCTGGAAGAGGCTTTGAGGGCTGGACAAGAAGTAGGATCTGTTGTCTAGGGGAGTACTGCAATCGCTAAGCGCCTATTGGTGGCAGGTGGCCGGGCAGAGATGTTGGGGACCTTCCCCACAAGGGCTGCTCTCCTTGATGATGGCACCGGGGGCCAGGCTGAATTCAGGCTGGTGGTCTGGGGACAGTTCAATTCTCAAGGCTCTGGGGCTGAGACCTGAGCTGCTTCTATCTAGGTCTGAGAAGAGCTGATGGTCAAAGTGGTTGGTGGTGGTGGTTTGAGGTGAATGACACATGCAGCTTCCTGTCTCTCCCTCAGACAGATACTGCTTCAGCTAGGTTTCCCTGCCTGTCACAATGGAGACAGTAGGTCAGTAGTTTGTGTTGGTGGGGCAAGGCAGGTCCCTTCTCCCCAGGGGTTACTCCTATTGCAATCTGCCAAATTTGCAAAGTCAAGAATACTGTGGTTCATCTCTGGATGCCCCATTTTGGGAAGTACCTTGACAAGCTGGGAAGAGTCCATAAGAGGGTGGCTAGGCTGGCAAGAGGACTAATAACCATGCCATACAACAAACACTTGAAGAACTAAGCATATTTTACCTGGAGACAAGGAGACAGAGAGGGAACATGATAATAGGTTTCAAGTACCTGAAGGGTTGTCTAAGAGAAGGATCCGGCCTTGCCTCTACAGTGTAGAGCTAGAAGCAATGGGGGGAAGATGCAGAGAGGAAGATTTCAGTCTGATGTATAGAAAGCTTCCCGATAATCAGAGCTATCCTGAAGTGCAATGGATTGCCGTCCCTCTCCCTGAAAGGCTAGAGAGCTCCTCCTAAAGGATGCCATTTTTCTATATGGCAGAGACCTCTGAGATGCCTTCTGACTCCGTGAGATGGGTTTGAGCCCCATCTTTTCCATTTATTAGACATATGATCTGGAGCAAGTCACTTGCTCTGTGAGCCTGTCACTTCACCGGTAAAGTGGGGATGAGAAATTTCCCCTGGAGGACTGTGTTAGAAATCAAATGAGAAAACACATAGAAAGCTTTCCTTCTTTCTAATTTGTCTCTGCCTCATTGCTTACATGCTGGTTCTCTCATTAGAACACAAGCTCCCGGAGGGCAGGCTTGGTGTTTTGGCCTTGCCTCGTGTGCCCAGCGCCTAGTACATAGCTAGTGCTTTAGAAGTTCTTGTGGGTGATGGGAAGGCCCCTTTCATAGACTGTCGAGGGCTATACAAATCTGGAGTAGCCCTCCCGCTACTCTAGTTGCTTCTTTCGGAATCAATGAGTTTGTAGGTGTGGGTATTCCCTCCACCAGGAAGGACTGAATTGCCTCTATGACTCAGCCTTCTTTCCAAGAACTGCTGTGGCCAAGCAAGTGATGAGACACTCCAAACTGCGTGGACAAGCGACACACACATAGCGTATGGCTGGGACCATACTGGAAGGCTTTCTAGACTGCTACAGCCCTGAAATCCACTGGAAGAGCGTTAAGGAACCAGGGTGATCTCCATACTACACTGACACAGAAGACAACAAAAGCAGGGAAATAAGAACAATAAATCCTTGTAACACAAACAATGTGGTTATAGTATAACAATTTACATTTCAGTCAAGAAGCATTGGTGACTAAGGGAGAAGAGGAGTAATGTATTTAAATTAATTAAATTAAAGCCCAGACCACAGAACAGTAAGTTTCAAGGCTGACCTTGGAGAACATCTAGTCCAACCCAATTAACAGATGAAGAAACTGAGGCCCCAAGAGGTAACATGGCTTCCTTGAGGTTCTGTAACCAGTAAATGGCAGAGGTGCAACTCAAACCCAGAGCTCTGGAGTCCTTCAAATCAAGCATCTCTCAGGAAGGTCTGGAAATAGTGCTTTATCCACAGGGGCACTGGACATCCAGGTAGAGATTTTGGATGCAGGAGGACAGGGCTGGGGGTAGGGGGCTCCTAGAATATACACCAAAGGGAGTGAGATTTTAGACCAGGTCAGGGTCAAGCTGACTCCATGATTAAATGATAAGATGATAACCCTCCCACCCTCAGTGAGTAAGACAGTACCAATGTTTCTTTGGGAGCACCAATTCTGCCCAAGGTATACACAAAGAGAAAGAGATACGGACTTGAAAACTTGATGGGATGGCTTTGAACTGTCAGGAAGACCGATGAACTATCTCTGTTCACTCTACTCTGCTGGACTAGAAACTGCCTAGGTCTGGGGTATACCTGATAGGCTTCTAGTGCTACCTGGACAAGAGGGCCTGGATCCCAGGAGTGCCAACTAGCTTTCACAAACAGCAGCTGGAGAACATGACAGCAATCTTCAAGTCCAAATGGCAGACGTACAGGAGGGAAATTAAGACATGTTTCGCTTGGTCCCAAAAGGCAGGACTAGGAGCAAAGGGTGAGAAGTTGTAGGTGTGGAGAGCCAATTGTAATTCAATGTAAGGAAAAAACTGCCTGAGAGAGCGATCCGAAAACAGAACAGGGCCTTCTGATGGTCCTGGAAGGGTTCAAGTAAAGGCTAGAGGACCATGTGCTGCACACATTATAGTGGGGATCCTTTCTCGGGCACAGATCTCACCAGTTATCCCCAAGCTCCTCTCTAGTCTGAGACAGGGCTGGCCCTGCCCCAGAATAAACAATGGCTGGGCATCTGCACACTCCCAGAGGCACACCCGTCGATGCCCTTCACGATGGTCATCCCAAGGGACATTATTATCCTGTGCCCTCGGCTCCTACCACTCAATAACTGGCTAAGCGTGGCACCAATAAAGGCACCGAGCAGGATTTCTGGGGGCTCTCCCCCATCACATGGCCACTTCTCAGAGCACTGTCGCTGCCGTAGTTTTCTGGGATGTTGCTGGGTGATAAGATCAGAGATCAGTCTAAATGTCATCCCAGCATCCAGCAAGTGCTGGCCTCGGCTTTAGTGAAATCAAATGCCCCTTCCTTACAGAGCACTTACTCCTTTTGTCTCTGCCTACAACCCTCTTGGCACACACAGATCTGAGGGGTGATAGTGCAATGGTGAATATATTAGAATTTTAATCAGAAGGGCCAGGGCTCAAGTCCCCTGGGCAGAAATCTTCATGGAGCAGGTCAGTGAGGGAGAAAAGAACGTTGGACTCAGGCTCTGAGGCCCTGCGACTTTCCCTTTCTGGGACTCTCTCCTTTGTCTCTCCAGGGAGGAGATGACCCCATGGAAGTGAAGGTCCCTGCCAGCTTTCAACCCTATGACTCTACAGGCTTTGGTATATACCAGAGCCTGCACCAGTTCTGCTTAAGCCACTGCCATGATGCCTTTGGTTTGCCTTGGAGCATGAATCCCCACTTACAAGTTTGGGGAACATTTTTCAGAAGTCTAGATTTCCCTGGCACAAGCCAAAGGCAAACTGTATCTTTAATGGTGTGTTGACGTCACATTCGCTTACTTAGGAACGTGATTTCCTTTCATTGCCAAGACAGCCACGGTTGCTGTGGCAACCACGCAATAACAGGGATGCTTAACGGAAACAAACTCCACTCACCTGCACAAAGATGCCCTTGCTCCTGTATTCTGCATGGAGGCACTGGGAGAAGAAATCTACAAAAGCCTGCATGGGGCGGGAGGGGGGAGAAGAAAACACAGAGATGACATCAACCGGCTGATCTGTTGTCGTGGAAACGAGAAATCATCTGGCAACCAGGGAATGAGAGAGTTTCTCACCATTCCTTTTACTTGAGATAAAGACTGAGACCTCATACAATACAATACCATAACAAGTTGGCTTTTGACAGCAGAGCCGTCACCAAACTAGATTCTTGTTAAATACATTATACAGGTCTGATTAGTGGGGAGAAGTCCATTGGAGCCAGTTTAGGGTTAAGGCAGCAAGCATGACATGGTAGAAGGAATCCTCAGCTTCCTGGTGCTAGAAAACCTGGCAAGGCTCAAGGTCTGGCTCAACCATTTGCCATCTATGTGACTCGAGACAGGTGATTTAGTTTCACAGGACCTCAGTTAGTTTACCAGTAACATGAAATGACAATGCTCTAACTTAAGGGAGTGGCTGTGAGGAACAAATATGACATTGTATGTGAAATGCTATACAAATCAAGAGTCGTCATCATCATCCTCTGTCTGCATATGGTCTGGGTCAGTTTGGTCTTTCGGTAGAACACAACAGTCCCAAGTCCATTGATTTTATAATTCTACTGCTTTCCATGAAGAAATTTATTTTATTCCTAGCTACTAAAAGATATAACCCCTCTCCTCTGACCACAACATAAGCAAAAACACAATGAGAATTCTGTCTGATTTGGCTCGAAGCGACACAGAAAAATAAGCTCTCAGAGCTGAAAGGGGACACTGAGATCAACAGTCAAGGTCCTCTGGGGTGATGAAACCCAGCAGGTGCAGGCAGACAAGAGAACATTTCCTATCTTTTCCAAAACAACAACCTGGAGTCCCCTTTGAGGAAGGTAAGAGGAACCCATCCCATCTCTGCAGCCCCAGTGCCCAGTATAGTGCTGGCACATGTATGGGAAGTGTTTGATCAACTGTGTTTCAGGTGGAATGCACATGATATCAAACCTGATTCTGCAAGGTTCCAAGCTGGCAACATTCTGGCCAATGTGACAGGGCAGGAAGTAAGTCTCCGAATCCACTGAGCCTTAAAGAGACATTCCATTCTAGAGGCTCAGGCCATTAGTACAGCACATGGTTGTTTCACTGACAATGCGTCTGTTAGCCCAGGACAAAAGCAGCTTAAAAAGGGGTGAGTGCATATGTGCATGTATGTATGTGTGTGTGGGGGGGGATGTTATTTCAAGAGGAGCAGCCGTTTCAGTGTTCCAGCAGCTAACACAAACCAAAGAAAATGTGTGTGTTGTAGGCAGTAGTTTTGCTCTTTTCTTTCCTTAACCACACCGATATAGTAAAGCCAGGACTTATTGCATGCTGCAAAGGCACACTTCATTTCAGCTACTAAAATGAGCATCCCCCATTCAAAGTATTATGTCGCCAAGGTTTTTCTCTTACAAAAAAAAAATGAGGCATCACCAAAGGACCTTCCAGCTCATTCCCTGTCTCAGTGTTGTGCTGTGCTCTATATGTGAAGATGATGTAATGACATGCACTTCGACTTTGTCCCACCCTGCCCCAGTAGCGAGGATGGGCCATGTAGAGTCATCCACACTCTGCAGGGACCAGCTGCCTGCATTCATGATACAGCTGCAGGAATATCGGGGCTACGTGGAACGTACTCGCACCCCAGTAACTAACACAGCAAGACTGTATCTTGAGGGAATAATGACACCAACTGTCCTCAGAGAGCTCGTTATGCACGCATCACTCTGCAGAAAGCAGGAACATGACTGGCTCCATTTTAAAGAACAGAGGTTCCAAGAGTCCAAGCTGCTTCTCCAAGATTAGGCCCAGCACATCTCACCCTCGGGCCAGTGGTCTTTCCATGACCCCAGCCTGACGCTTACTGCGTTATTTGGCCCTTGCTCTCAATAAAGCTACAAGAGCCAAAGTTTCTGTGCATTAGGGATCTCGTTTTCTACAAGTGTAATGTGTATAATGTTGCCATATCGAAATGTTAAAAAATGGAGCTATTCAAATGTGAAAATCACACATGCCTGCGCTTTTCCTATCCTATTAAAGGAAGCATTACCTTTCTTTAATTAAGAATATGCCTTGGTAAGACTTCTGAGATGTCATTAATAAACTATAGAAAAAAGCTAAATTCAAAGCAGCCTTGTTTGCTGAATAGGAGCCATCACGGTCATTTCCCATGATCCTCCTGTTGTGTTCTCTTATCACAGGCCACATACCTCAAGTTCTTCCAATATGCCAGAATAAAAAATAAACCTAATATCTAGGAATATTGCTTTCTCTTTTAATAAAATGTTATGAAAATAAATTTGAATGTGATTAATAGGAATAAGTATCCCTTTTCTTATTTCTAGAGATAAGTTTAGAAAAGGTGTTAATTACCCATTATCTTAAATGGAAAAGCATGCCTAATAGACTAAATAATAAAATTCTCTCCACTTAAAACAATGGATTTTTGCATCTGTTCCATGCACTGGTTTCACTGTTTATTCAAGAGATTAGATTCACTTCTATTTCTCAACATTTTCCCTTCTTGTCCCCATGACAGGTTTGAGGACACTTCATTTTGTACATGAAGATGACACAGTGAGAGCTCATGACTCTACTCCCACGGCAGCCATGGATTTATGCTGATTGATCCAGCCCCTTTGGCTTCCAACTATACCCACCTCGGACCCACACTTAAGAGGTGGTTGGTCAGGGTTAGAAGACAGGCTCACAGGTCCGTGTGAAAGATAATGCCACATGCTTGGTCCCAGGAACACCAGGTTCAGAGCAGCCACATACAACCTGAGCAGAGGCCCAGCCCTCCATGGCTCATGGGGGTCTAGCAGCAGTGACCACAATATTAGATTGTAGGTACTTAGCTCTCCAACATGTCGATGGTCAGTAAGTTAAGAAACCACGTAAGCAAGTTTTTGAAAATTGTTTCAAAATCCCTTAGAGGCTACATTTCTACTTGTGTTATACATGTCTATAATCACAACTGGTTTTTAATGCAAAAAGTATCCTCACTGCTATGGAAAAAAAAGAGTCTGCAAGGAGCAAGAGGTGTGGGTTTGACCCTCTTATACCACAGCCATAGGACCATTAGACTGTAAGCTCTATGGAAGGGAGCCTACATTTTATGTAAACTGTTTATTCTTTAGAATTGAATATAGCTCTCTGCACACAGCAGGTACTAAATAAATGTTTACTGAATGAATGAAAGAAAAGGTGCAAGTTATCCATTTAAAACAGATTTAGAGTTCAAATGTTTCTGAACTTAGATACCCAGATATAACACCTAGATATCTAGATATACCTAGATATAACTTTCCCTTCCACAATAGAATTGAAAATTGAAAAAAAAAAAGGCATGCAGAAGATGCCACTATGTTAGGTCAAGTCTATGGGTCTATGGCCAAACTCGATGAGTGTTCTTCCCCTGCCCAAAGGGTCAAGGGACATCTTGGTTCTTCTTTCTTGCCCGTTTTAAAACTGACAAGAATAAATCCACAAAGGAGCAACAAGTTCATTAATATGTGAACATAATCGACCATTATAGGTCCCAATTCATCTATGATTTAGCAGATAAATCATGGGGATCTTCCTGAAACCCACAGACTTTAAGTGACTTGCCCAGGGAAATGACAGAAGTTCTTCCTGAACTGAAGTCTAGCAATCGATCCACTCTGCTATTCTTTAAGAAGGAAACTACAGGAAATGCAAACTTATATCACTTCTAACTTCATCTATTCTAATCCTTTTTCCCCAAATAAACTTTACCTTGGTCGCTGAGTAAACAGACAGCAGTGGAACTGGGTACATGCCACTGGCAGATGAGATGTTCAGAATTGCACCTTTAGATCTAAAAGGAGGAGGAAAAGACAGAACATGTAAGAAGAGCGACAGTCATTCACATTTCTGTGTTTGGTCGCCAGCTCCTTTTCCCAGAGCAACCCTGCAAAGTCTGTAGTACAGGTTCTGGTGTAGATGTTTTATGATGAGAAAGCTAGGCTCTGAGAGCTCTACAGACTATGGAGCAAACACAAGCTGCTTCTTAATCCACGGCTACAGAAATACATCATTGAAACTTCATATCACAACTATTTACTTAATCCAGATTTAAACCGACCTACGGTCACCACTGCGGCATTGTCCAGGATAGATGATGGTCACTTCATCGTTGGGAGAGGCGCAACTCTCCCAACGACAGGATCCATTTCATAGAGAGCTGCATTAATTTTCCATTTCTGTCCCATTTGCCTGAAGGTTCAACCCAAGGTAATTAAGGGTCTCCTCCTAAGGTTCTCCCTCCATGGACGAAGTATCAGTACTGCAAGCCCCCAAACAAAAAGGAACCTCACACGTGAAAGCCTCTACAACGGTCTGCCTCTTCCATTAGGCCTTTTCTAGCCACTCCAGGTCTTTCTCTTATGGGAGCCCCTGCACTCATTCTAGCACTCACGCTGTCAGTTGTGTCCAGGACACCGCGCTATGTTCTGAGAGACTGAAATGCCACACGGCTCCTGAGCTTGAGGACTTCAGGTTCAACCCGTGCCGAGTGGAACGCCTGCTCCTCCTCCTGACTTCCCCATCTCTGTCGATGGCACCGTCCACCTCCATGGTCATAACCTGGGTCTCATCGCTCCCCTTCACTCTACATACCAATTCAGTCACCAAGAGCTGCTCATTCTTCCTCTGCAACATTTCATGTGGCTATCCTTCACTGATCATTACTTCCATTGTTGTCACCCTTTAGCTCAGGCTGCCATCGCCTCTCTTCAGCCTTACCCTAGCGGTAGACTAACAGATATTCCCTGCCTTTCCCGCCTGGAACCACATCACTCCACTCTACAGGTACGGGATTGGTCTTCCAAGGCACAGGATCATGCCACACACTCCACTGCTCAAAAACACTATGGGCTCGTGCCAGAACAGAGGAAGATCCTCCACCATCTGGCTCCAACCGGCCTTGGACAGCCCTATCACACATAGGCTAATGGGTCTTACTGCCACAAGTCTCCCCCCCACTACAGTCTCTCTTCCACTCAGCTGCCAAAGTGATTTTCTAAAATGCATGTATTACCCTGTCTCCCCTGCCACTACCACCTTCACTCAATAAATTTCAATAGCTCCCTATTACCACCACAATCAAATATTAAAAATCCTCCGTTTGGCAGTCAAAGAGCTATTTTATAACCTGGCCTCCTCCCCAATTTTTCTCACACGTTACACATCCCACTCTTGCAGCCATTTACCCTGTGATCTGTGACCCTGGCCTCTTTTCTGTTCCTCACACAAGACAGTCTTATCTCCCCCCTCTGGCCATTTTTCCTGGCTGTCCCCCACACCTGGAATGTTCTCCTTCCTCATCTCCACCTCCTGGCCTCCCTGGCTTTCTCTAAGTCCCAGCTCAAACCCCACCTTCCACAGGAAGCCTTCCCAGTCCCCTTAATGTTAGCACCTGCCCTCAGCTGATCACCTCCAGTTTATGCTGTCCACAGCTTGTCTGTCCAGAGTCATTTGCCTGTTGTCTCCCTCTTTAGACTGGGAGCTCCTCCATTGTCTTCTGCCTTTCTCTGTATCCCCAGCACTTAGCATGGTATCTGGCACACAGCAGAAATATAATCAGTGTTGACTGACTGACCGACATACAACACACTCCAGCCAAACTGACCTTCTTGCTGTTGTCTCAGGGTCCTAGGTTTTGCCCCCTCTTTGCTTATTGTTCACAATGGTTCCTCTATACCTTCTGACATGCAGCCCCTCATCCGATGCCCACCTTTCTGGTGACAAGCCTTTCTTAGCTTATTGAGGTGGGTGCTCAGAGAACAAACACAGAGTCCATACTGGGGCCATAGTTGACCTTTCTAGCTCAGCATCAGAGATCTACAACTTGGAAAGAACTCTTAGTGGCCCTCTACTCCAACCCAAAGACCCCAACAGGTGATCATGCAGAGGAGATGTCCTTCTCCCACCTTCCCCCTTCTTCCCCGTCTCCACCCACCCCAGAATCCCTTTCATTTTTGGATGGCACTCATTGGGAAGAAGTTTCTTCCTGACACCAAGCTTAAATCTGCAACTCCAGCCATTGCCATGGCCCAAGCAAAACAATCCCGGTCCCTCTTCCATATGATGGCCCTCCTAGACTTGAAGATGGCATTTCTAGCTCCTCTAGGTTTTCTGGTCTCTGGGCTAAGCCTCCCCAGCTTTCTTCAATCTGTCCTCCTTATGGCATTATCTTGAGGCCATTCAAAAGCTCAGCTACCCTCCTCTGGGCATTTTCCCATTTTCCAACGTTCTTCAAATGTGGTCTCCAGGAAGCAACGTGCCCCTAAACTGTCCCTATGTGGGCTGACCCAATTTTTATGGATCCAGTCCTGCTTACTCTCCTTTGCTTAGCACGGCTTCGACTGACTTGGCTTTTGGCTGTCATATTACACAGTATGAGTCTGAGTGCACTAAAAGCCCTACATCTTTTCCAAATGAGTTCCTTGCTATTTAGCCCTCTCGTAGTTGGTGAAGCCAATAATTTCTTTTAGCTCAACTTCACGACTGATGATTCATGATCCCTATTAAAATTCCATTTTATGATTTTTTTCCAGGAACAGAAGTCAAGCTCACTTGTCTATATTTTCTTTTTTTGAAACTGGAGATAACAATGGCCCTTTCTCAAGCCTGCAGGACCTCTCCAGATCTCTAAGGGCTTTCAAAGGTTAATCAAAGTGGCTCCACAATGCCATCTGCCAGTTCTTTCACACTCTAGGATGTTTGTCCAAGACTGGTGACTTGAACTCTATGGGAGTCAGATGATAACCAACCAGCCTTGCTGATCTTGGGCTTTCATTCTCCACAGACCATTTTTGTTCTATCCTTCCCTATCTAAAAAACATTCTCCTTAGAAGAGAAAAGTAAGAACCAGAGTAAGAGCTGGGTAGTTCAGCCTTCTTGCTCTCCCATGTTATGACCATTCCACACACTCTCAATCATAATCCTATCCCCTCTTTGGTACAATTCTTGTCCCCAAATACATGAAAAAGCAACTGTGCCTTTTTATTGTTTTTAGTGTTCCTGCCCTGGGCTCTTGTGCTCCAGACACAAAAGCTTCCTGGATGGTATCAGAGCTCAGAGAAGTATGGTGGGATCTGCCAGAGGTCTAGTTCTGCCGTCTGAGCCTTTGGAACCCAGGGTCACAGCCACACCACGACAACGATGGTCAGGAGGACTGGAAGGGGGAAAGCTCGCACATGCTCTTAAAACAAGTGAATGCATATTGTGCAATGCCACACTTCCCTGGATTTGAGGATGTCTGGATGTCAAAGAACCAATTCTACACAGTCCATGAGAGCCTACAGCTAATCTAACTTTGGCAGAACAACTCAGAATGTCTCCACATTCAGCTCCACAAGGCCACCCTGCTGCCGAGAGCTCAGAGGCCTGTACTCCACTGCCAGCCTGGCTGCTAACTTGCTATTGGACTCTTGCTAGACCTTAGTTTCTTCCTCTGGAAAATGAGAGAGCAGCTTTAGAGCTGAAGTTTTTTATTTCTTCTGTGTCCTAGACCCCTCTGGCAGTCTGGTGAGGCCAGTGGAAACTCTCTCAAGAATCGTGTTTAAGAATACAAAGAGACCAATTATAAGGAAAACTCTCCAAATAGAGAGTCCCTAAGGTCCTTCCTAATTTTAATGCCAGATGACTTTAAACCTTCTTATGTACCAGGCCTCAAAGTGCCCTGTGTCACACGCACAGGGTAGGTAAATCCAGCAATTAGAGATGCTCAAAAGGGAAGTTCAGAAGGTTAGTTAGAACCTAATGGCATTGGCTCTGGATTTTTGCCATAAATGCACACCAGCTACTTAGTGTAAAAAATAAATCAGTGCCACAGGTACACTTATGGATGCAGATCTACTGTTCAGGAAGAATGGAATCTCAGACAAAATGAACAGCTGGGCCTTCTTTTTATATACTCTCTTAGAAGATAATTTCCTTTCCAAAGCCATGAAGTTTCTGTAGGCTGACTCTGGCCTGACATGACATCCATTCATTTCTTCATTTGACCTTTTTTTTTTTTTAAAGTAAAGGCTACCGCTTTCATATTTATTGAGTACTTGGAATACAAAAATGACTTCCTCGAATCAACATCCCCTTCTCTAAGGATTTTCACACGTAGGAATGTAGGCTTCAGCATTGGAAGGGACCTTAGAATTCCCCTCCTACAATCCACTCATTTTACTGATGAAAAAACGAAGGTCCAGAGAAACGAACTGATTTGTCCCCCAGCTGGTAAGTGCACAAGCAGAGCTGCGTTTGAATCCAGTTCCTCGGGCTCAAAATCCAGTGGATTTTCTGCTGTAGTCTGCTTCCTCTGCACTGTTTGTAAAAATCTATTCTTTGGGCATGATGGGAACAACGAATGGGATGCATACTACGTGGTTATTTATATCTAACTACACTTTATTAAGCTGAGCATTTGACACAGAGCATCTCACCGAATTCTCACAATAGTCCAAGAGGTGAGTGCTACAGGTGTTGCCCCATTTTACAAATAAGAAAATGGAGGTCTGAGGGGCAGCTAGGTGGCACAGTGGATAGAGGAGGACCTGAGTTCAAATGCGGCCTCAAACCAAACACTTGACACTTACTAGCTGTGTGACCCTGGGCAAGTCACTTAACTCCAATTGCCCCCCTCCCCCCAAAAAAAGAGGAGGTTTGGAGAAACTCTGTGATTTGCCTAGAGTCAAACAGCTACTAAATATCAGAGGCAAAATCTGAATCCAGGTCTCTTCTGGTCACAAGCCTTGGGATCTTTACATTGTGCCATGATGAGTTCACATTCGGCCTTGTGAAATTGTGAGTTTATTCAAT